TGTAAGGGTTATTTATGCAGTATACTAAGTGATCTGAATGAAATGTTGAGTTAGCCGACATACCCGTTGTTGAGGAATTCCCCGACGGTCTTTCCGAATGAGTTGCCTGGCCACCTTGTCGATATGAGAAATAGAGTTTAACTGTGGACGTCTTGCCAGGAACACAACCTATCTCCAAAAACGCCCTACAGAATGGCCCCAGCAGAACTTAGAGAACTGAAAATCGCAATTACAAGAATTGTTGGATAAGGGATTCGTCAGGCCGAGCACTTCACCGTGGGGAGCACCCGTTCTATTTGTAAGAAAAAGGACGGCAACCCTTCGTCTTTGCATTGACTACAGAGAACTTAATAAGGTGACCATTAAGAACAAATACCCATTGCCAAGAATCGATGATTTGCTTGATCAACTACGAGGAGCCACTACAAGAATTAACACTTTTGGCAACAAAAAAATTGGTCGCTAAAAGTCTATTTTTGGTCGGCAAAAGCTATCTGCGACCAATTTTTTTAGTCGCTACTTTGGTCGCCAATTGAGGGTCGGCAAAAGTAATTCGCGACCAAAATTGTAGTTGGTCGGCAAAAGTTGAATTTGCCGACTAAATTTTTGGTCGCTAAATATTGAATTCCCGCGACTAATTTATTTTGTCGCCAAAACACTTTTGTCGCGAAAAGTGATATTTTTCCGACCAAATTTCTTAGTCGCCAATTGTCACCTTTCGCGACCAAAAAGTTTAGTCGCCAATTATTACATTTCGCGACCAAATTTTTTGGTCGCCAATTATCACATTTCGCGACCAAAAAAATTGGTCGCCATTTGTTACTTTTCACGACCAAAACTTTTGGTCGGCAAAAGTGAGTTTTCACGACCAAGAGCTATTTTGGTCAGCAATTGTCATTTTTTACGAAAAAAAATTATTTATTTGTCGCGACTAATAAATTGGTCGCAAAAGCAGGAAAACAATACACTTGTAGTTCCTAATAATTCATTCAATCCATAATAAACCTATAATTTTAAAGTATCATTCAAATTAACTGAATCATTAACATTCGACACAATACATAATTCATTAACATTCGACACAATACATAATTCATTAACATTCGACACAATACAACTATTCTAAGCTTTCATTCACAAGTCACATCCATCTAAGCTACATACTAAACTTTACATTCCCAATATATACATTCATGCAGCAGTGGCATGAAATTTACCCTTAGATGGCTTTGCACATTCGCTTGCTTCTTCCATTCTCTGATTCTCCTACTTAATGTATTGGGAAAGCCACTTCAGTTATTAGAAAATTGCGGTTAATGTGGCAACCCTCTTTCAGTCTTGTACCAGCTGATAATGTCTAAGTAGCACGCTTACTTCCTGCAAGATCAACGAAATTCTGGACAAAGAACCAACTTACATTTTACATTTCTCACTAAACGTCCTATAAAAACAAGAATTATTCGAAAAAAGCTCCTTGCACAAATAATCTTTACTGGCCACTAATCTCAGTAAAAATAACTCTCCATACCACAGAGGTTGAAAGAGTGCTCGAGCTTTCACTACCTAAGAATTCATGACCACAACTTTCAACTGTCTGCAAGAATCAATTATTATGTAAAGTCAATGAAGAGGTTAAACACTTCACATTTGTATTAGGCAATAACTACTTCCGGAAATGACAGCATACCAGTCAGAGAATTTGATAAGATTCGGAACTCGTTTCATTCAGAGAGGTCTCCCCTATTTGTCTTTGAGCTGCACGAACGCAATGCACTGAATAGACTTACAATATCATCCAGGAAAACAGGACTACTATGACCAATTGACGATACTTACCTTCACAAAAAGAGAGGAGCTCCTTTAGATGGTCCCAGTCCCTCAAAATCTCCTCTGTAAGTTTCTTGACAATGGTTCCTCTCTGCAGAAGAGAGAAGAGACCAGCTAAAGATGTTTGTGAAAATTCAATTTAATGTCATTTGTATTCACATCAAGTACAATATTCACCTCTGGATCATCAAGTAGCCTAAGTGGGCCACTAGCTAGGCTTAGGAAGTCTTTGACAGCTTCATTGTAAATCTCAATTGCAGAGAATTTCAATACAAATTCTCTATCATTATGCTAGATGTTGAAAAAAATACAGCAACATTGAGTAGGAATTCGTACAAGTGTAATTGATTTCAGAAAACAATATTGGGAAAAGAATGGCATTTTTAATGTACCATATGTATGTAGTCAAATAAATCAGCTACAGCATGTTCAGTAATGCCAGACATTGTGTATGTCTTTCCACTGCTTGTCTGCCCATACGCAAAAATAGTTGCTGCAAAAACATTTTAATGGTGAAAATTTTCACTACTTGAAGTAACAAAATTTCAGCAAAATAAGGAAACAATGGATGAGAAGAATGCTCACAATTACTTATATTTTCGACCCACAACAGAAATTACTTAAATTTCACTACTTATTTTTGACCCACAGCAAAATAAGGAAACATCGGGAACACACCATAATAATTTTGACCCACAACAGAAATTCCTGCCATCTGTATATACTCAAATCAGTTAAAAACTCTAAAACAAAACCAAACTCAACTGAAACTACTTAAATAGCTAGACATGTGGCCCTAGAAATGTACAGTCAAATAGCCAATTCTGAACAGTTGGGACAAGGCTCTGTTCAGAAAGAATAAATGAGATAGGGTGTAAATGGTTTAATGAAAATAAGAGTCTTTATAAAATTACAAAGTCAGACTTGTGGTGTGTGCACCATCAAAAAGTTCGAAAACATGTGAAAAAAGCTATTATTAAACAAGAATGTTAATGCTGATCACCTAAAATACAAAATAGAAGGGCCATCTAATACAACCAAAAAAGAAAAAAAAAAAAAACAGGTAGACATTGAAAATCACAAATTTTAAATGTTCATTGCATCCACTCGAAACAATAAAATCTTACTAGTTATAGATTTAAAGGGGTATGAATTGCCAAAAATTCCAAATACCTCAGTCAGTGTAGCAGGTATTGGATCAATGAAAAATTACCATCTCAAACCTTAACATAGCAGAACCAGAATGAAACACAGACATACCGTTGTATCAAGTTTCCAACCAACAGCTGCGGCAGCAATCTCCATGCCAATGTATCCACCAACAACAACAACCACCTTCTGTGCTTTCTCTTATAAAATGAAAACCAGTGTGTGACAAAATCCCCTCTACAGATCCTAATTTAAAAAATAAAAAATAAGAAAATAAAAATCTAGCTATATTTTCCAAAAAGAAACTCATGAGCATCTTTCCATTCGGTTATTGTTAAATACAACTTAACAAGCTTGTGTATGTAGAGTTTTACAACAGAAAACATTAGCTTCATTTCACTATAAATTATAACCTGAAGAAAGTTAGAATTAAGTTGACAACCAAAATATGATAAAATAGATAAATGATTAAGTTGTGTAACAAATGAAAATTAACCAGTGATAATTACAATGATCAAGCATTTTGCAACATCCTCGAATATAAGTGAACACCGGGTAAGTTTCATGCCAATCTTCGTCTACGAAATCTGAAGCCACAGGGAAATATAGAATTTAATGGATTAAAGGAAGGCAGGCTTTGTGACTCGCCTTTCCCATGTTTCAAGTTGAGTTGTTAGTAAAGGAATTCTCAAAGTAGCAGCTTGTAAAGGAAAATAGGGTGAAAACCACATCTAGAGTAACTGTTTTTTGAATATCCAAAAAAACTATAAAAATATTAAAAAAAAACTATCGAGTTCAAAAAATTAAAAACTATCATAACTTCTTGAATATCAAAAATTTATCTATTACATTCCAATTCATATAAAGAATTATATTATAAATATATAAAAGACTATCGAGTTCAAAACCATCCAAAATGTTCTAAATCATCCAAAAAACACTATCACTGATGTTCAAAACCATACAGAAATTTTACCCAAAAACCTTTCTTGTCAGTGCACCATCAAAAGCCTGATTTAATTACATCAACACTTCGGCTTGTGCCTCCATATCTTTGCTAGTAGGGAAATCCTGAACCCACTTGGCTTTGTGCCCCTCTACTAATATGGTTTCAGGAATGATGCATCTATTGTTATCCATCTGATAAACATAAAATTTGATGCAAATCATTGAAATTAGAATGATAATAGTAGAAAACTATGTTATTACAAACAGTACCAAGCAACCAGATATGAAAGAGTGGTTAAGAGACTGCCAAATTATTTAACAAAAATGTACACACTAAACATTCTAGTCAATTGCAATAGCATTTGTGAAACCTTTGTGAAAACAATGATAAACTGCTACAATCTTTATCGCAAAGGAGTCATTATAATTGGCACAAAACAATCAAAATTGATAGCTCTACCATGCCCACAAAGGTTAATTATAAAAATAAAAAAACCATTACCTTATTTATGTATTAATATTAATATGGAACCCAAAAGAATGATAAATGAGAGCTAACAATTTCTATTTGTCGGAACCCAAAAGACTGGTCCTGGGTATATTACAATTCTATTCACCAAAAACCAAATGATCTTAATTGCTAACAATTTCCATTAGACAAGAGATGGGACATTTGTCAACATAACTAGCACATCTGCCTTTATACAATCTGTACTAGTAATAAAACAATATTTGCGCTTTGTTTTTGTCGGGCATTTCTCTTTGAAAAATTTTTGCCTGCCAAGCAAACCAAATTTTTGAATCTTCAAACAAAATAACATACCAAATAAAAAAGTTAACATTCATTCAGAAAAAATCATGAAAAACCAGCCTTGATCTTTTCAATCACACAAAAAGCAAACACATAAAGGGCACAATCCCAGGAATTGTAACCTACTCTTTCATAACACTGTCATGCTAGTCAAGTATAGGAAAGCATTAAATAAATATAAAAAGCAAAACAGAAAAAAGAGAGATGTTTCTTACCTAAAAGCAAATATAGTCCTTCCAACCCACCAAAAGCATCAACCATACTCACACCAACATAAGAGAAAACATAGAATAGTTATAGAAAGAGCATAAAAAATACATCCAAACACCGGTATATTACATCCAAAAATATTATATATATATATTATAATAGAGAAGAAACATATAAGGTCAATAACCAAATTTTAACTAATGGTTAGGAACTAAGGGATTATATTATTTTGAAGGTCAATAACCAAAAAGTTCAAATAAATTGAACAAGCTTTTGGACAACAAAAAATACCTCAGGGCAAGTTCTATGATTCTATTATACTTGAGAAAAATTTGTTGGGGTGTATATAGCAATTGTGTGGATAAAACCATGCCCTAAGTATTTTAATTATGAGTGCTGCTTACTGTGGATTTGGTGACCTTCGTCCTTTAGAGCATGTTAAGTTTGTAAGCGTAGCTATCTTTTGTTGTGTCATTGTAGTGAAAGCCAACTCGGGGAATCAAAAAGCATCAACAAAATACATTTAAAAAAAAAAAAAAATGTGCGACCGAAGTTCAAATTCATCATGCTCGCTCTAACCAGCAACTTCCCTTGCAATAATGGGAACAAAAAAAAAAAAAAAATGTCATGCTCCCATACAGAAAGACACTGTTCAATGGTTGGGGACAATTAATGAAATGTTCCAATGTGAAAAAGTAAGACTAGATATAAGATCTAATCTTTACATCATTGAAAAAAATTTAAATAAATCAAAATGCTGTTTTTCTCAAAACTGACGCATGTTCCCAATGCTTGGAAAGCAACTTTTACCATTTCACTAAAGCATCAACCCTATGGAAAAGGGTTCCTTTTTGTTTGCTACTACTCTTTTTCTGTAAAGTGTTGGTTCTTGTTCTTAAAAGATGGAAGAGCATGGTTACTTAATTTTACAAGCTCAAGCTTACTAAAACCATTCTTTGCAGCACCAAACTTTTTTGAAGTGGTTTTTAAATTTGCTCACCAATGTTAGAAGTAAAAAAAGGAAAAAGGTTGCTATGGGTAGGTCCTAGTAAGGACAGACTCAAACTTCAATTTCTTCCACTCTTTAATAAGATGGAATCTTGGCTATTAACTTCTTCATCACAGGAGCTCGATTCATAAGCTCTCCTATTTGTTGTTAGTTCAATGCCGAGAAATGAACACTTGTCATACAGCAAGAGAAAGCTGGCAAACCCCAACATCATCATTAGAGATCTGGAAGCAAGCTGCTACAAATTTCTACTTCATCCCCTAGAAAATGCAGGCGGAAGCATCAATAATGTCCTTAGTTTGAACATTCGCCTATTCATAGTTTGAACTCTTCTAATTATATGCTTTTGTGCACAAAGGCCAAAATTAGTCCATGAAAGATTTTGCCAGCTTAGTAATATTGTCCCCCTTAAAATAATTTGGGCATCAAAGCCGTAAGTGCAACAAGGTGCTCTAGAAATTTTGTCTATGTCCATAGGTTTATTGTAAGTAGTCTTACAAGTGTTTTGCATCAATTGAACCCAATGAAACAGCCATAGTTAAATTGCCGACAGCAGCCAACTTGCTAACAATGTCAACTAGTACTTCCAATTTGAAAAAGACTGCATAAACTATCAAAAAAATTCTTTATTCCTTTGAAGGCGGGTGAGAATTGTACAGGACTAGTCTCCATATGGGAGTAACTGTTTTTTGCTCTATTCCATCATAACACATTTGCCTATCTTTTGCACCAGCCATTTTCACTTCATGGTTCAGACTATGATTGAAACTGCATTCCTGCACAAGAGTTACCAGCAACAACTTAAGCTAAACAGCAACTTGAATAAGCTTAAACCTTACCTATTATGAGCCCTGTCCAAAGCAATAGTTGTTGAGTAGCCAAAACTGACAACAGGACCCATATGGCTTTCAAAAGCATTCTTTTTCAAACAGTTTTCTTTTCCTTTTCTGAAATATGTTACATGATACCCAAAAGAAACACCTCTATCTTTTTTTTCAAGCTTTAAGAATAAAACAAAATATGTTTGAGGTCAACTGTCTCAGTATACTAGAACCAATGCAGGTCCTCCTCTATTGCTGTGCATTTGCGGGAAAGGGAATTGAAGTCATTGGTAGCATGGAAGAAGCTTGTTCTTAACAAGATTTAATTCTTCCTTGAACATTTATGGATTTGCTAGACAAATTTATTGTTATTGTTGTTTCATACAAAAATTATCTAGCTTCTCTTTGATGTTACACCCTCTATACATGGAGTTGCACCTCCTTTTAATGTTGCCTTTTTGGCATATGTTTACTTATTAGGAAAAAGAAAGGAAGCAAGAAACGAGGGAAAAAATTGGCATTAGAAATAATAAAAATTTCTTGATTCTCCGTTGATGATTGATAGTCATTTTCTCCACCCTAATAACACTCCATCAACCACTGGGCCAGAGGCAGATCCATCCCCACCACCAGTGCTGCCACCAACCTAACCTATCTCCTCAATCCTCTCTTCTCCACCTAATTCATCTTTTTCACTTTTTCCTTCCCTTTAACATTTTCATTTACCGTAACCATATTACTCTTCGTTTATTGTTGCATCTAAGGTCTTCATTGAACATGATAAACAAAATAAACCCAACTTCATTATTGCACTCTGAGAACTGAGCATGAAATGAGACCAACTCTTTAAACAAAATAAAATGAAAGATCCAATGTTTTGTAAGAACTAGAAGTCCAAAGACCAATTCCTGAATACATGATAGACATTTTGACATGCATATCTCTTGACAATTTGTGAGGGTTTGACAGCTCTGTTTACTGCATTTCACTAGAAATTATTGATTGCTTTTGTTTAGTTACATGTTGATGACCGCAATATTAAAGACTTTGAACATGTCAAGGAGAGAAAACATGATCAACAAACAACGAAACAAACTTACATTACACAATAAGGATTAAGAAAAGCTAACGTAATATTTTGACATGCATATCTTCTTGGACAATTTGTAATCTTCTTGACAATTTGTGGATTTTGATTTTTGTTCACCTCCATTTTAAGGTCAATTTGTGCTATGCTTTCGAAATGTTAGAAACAGGTAGCACAAAAAATAAAAACACATAATTCCTTCCAAGCTATAGAGTCCACCATTCCTCATGCGCTGTACTGCCCGACCTTGTCGCGCCGAAATCCTTGAGCAGACAGTTTACAAAGTCTAAAAGCGGGTAATTCCTTCTTGACTGTGTTGCTTTAATAGATGTAACCAACGTGTTGTGAGTGTTCAAACAAAAGGAGGCTTTCAAGCATCTGCCCAGCTTGTCTCTAGCGTTTCTGTACTGAAAACAGATTAAAGAAAAGCAAATTATTGTCAAGAGGAAAGTTAATTAACCAGAAATCGTTCATTGATAACGATTGAACTTGTCCGAATCAACCCTTGATAAAATTCATCTCTTTATCTCATCGACACAAACAACAATCAGAAACGAAACAAAAAATAATTAATAATAATAACCAAATAAAATTAAGGAATTTGTTAAGAGGAAAGTTAA